TTCCCCTGCTCCCCCAACAATGCCAGCCCCCGGCAGATGGGGGAGCAGGGGGAGGTACGGCCCCGGTCTGTGGAGCTGGGGCTGGAGGAGAAACGCATCAAGGCCAAGATTGAGGAGCTGGAGGAGGAGGACGGGGACGAGGGGGACTCCGAGGTGGCCTTCTCCATGGGCAGCTGTTGCAGCAGCCTGCTGCAAATCTTCAGGTCCAAGAAGTTCCAGTCGGAGAAACTGGAGCGCCTCTATCAGCGCTACTTCTTCCGGCTCAACCAGAGCAGCCTCACCATGCTCATGGCTGTGCTGGTGTTGGTCTGTGTGGTCATGCTGATCTTCCATGCTGTGCACGGCCACTGTGAGGTACCCTACGTCGTGGTGCTCTCTCTGGCCATCCTGCTGATGGTGGTGCTGTGCATTGTGTGCAACCGCAACGACTTCCACCAGGACCATATGTGGTTGGCGTGCTACTCTGTCATCCTGGTGATCCTGGCAGTGCAAGTGGTAGGGGTTCTGCTGGTGAGGCCCAGGAGCGCCTCGGAGGGCATCTGGTGGACCGTCTTCTTTATCTACAGCATCTACACGCTGCTGCCGGTGCGGATGAGGGCCGCGGTCATCAGCGGGGTGGTGCTCTCTGCCATCCACCTGGCCGTCTCCCTCAAGATCAACGCGGAGGATAAGTTCCTCCTGAAGCAGGTAGGTGAGCCCTCAGCCGGTTCGGGTGTGCGCTTGGCAGCCCCCACCTGCCCGCCACCTTGAAGGGCGAGGAGAGTGGGGTTGTCTGACTTCCACAGGCCTGCCCGCTGCTGGAAGGCTGACAGGGCTTTCTATCGAACCCCTAGGTTACCTGCCACAAGATGGGATGTACAACGTGGTGGCTTTCCTGTTTTATAGCGGTGGTATTTCCTTGTTGCTGCTTTTCATTAAGGCTGTAAACTTTTAAGAAATGTGCCTTAGTGGTTTCCTGTGACGCTGTTCCAGCGCTGTCAGCCAGCCCTGGTAATGCCCTTCAGTTGTATTTAATGTAAACAGCTCTGTGCTAAGCACACCTGTGGAATGGTATCTGCGCGTGCTGCCGTGTTACTGAGAAATGTGTGGAAAGTCTCGCCGTTTTTATCGGCTAGAGGTTATTCTCGGGTGTCACTCTGGAGTCGGGGTTCGTTGGCAGTGCAGTGCTTGCTTAGGCATCGGACAGTGTGCTCCACGGGAATGTGGAATTAGCTTTTGGTTTAGCAGGAGGCTGTCTGCTCTGAGATGTGCTGGAAATATCTACAGTGAAGAAGCCTGGAGTTCATATACAGCCAGAAGAAAAAGTTTAAAAAAAAAAAAAACAACCCTGTAAATGCAGATTATTATTTAGCTGTGATATCATGTTTAACTGGAGCAGCTCAATTCATGGGAACAATAAGACTATTATTGAATGCATTACAGTGCAATTTTTAATTACCATATCTGTATAAACAATGGCAATACAAGGCGTCACTCTTCTTTTCAAGCGAAGCAAGCAGCCTTGGGGCTCACGTACTTTAAGCTTACCAGACACCTTGGCAATTGGGAGACCACTGACTTAAAACGTCGTAGCTCTGTGGTAATCACCATCCCTCTGATAAGCAGGACTCTGAACAAGGATGAGCCTGTCACAGTCAGCCCTGATGCTTGTAAGTAACTGGCAGTTGTTTATTAAAATCAGGTGTTTGGTAGTTTTACAGCCCTATCACATAGTGAAAAAGAAAGCCTTGCACTTGCAGTGCTTACCTTAAATCTTACTTCTAAGCTGTTTTGAGTTCCACCTATTGCAGTGTCAGGAAAAGGTGCAGGACTTAAATAAAATTTCTGTAGGATGGGGCTGTTGCTGCTCTGCTCTACAAAATAGCCCATGAAATTACTCTTTCTTCCCTCCATTCTCTCACACACCCCCACCCCACCCCCCAATTAAGCATGCTTGGAAAGTTTCTAGCTTTGTTCTTAGTTTGTTACAGATGTTTTTACAAACTGTACATGGCATATTTTTCTTATGCTTGATACAAATGGGGGTTTGTACATTTCCAGCAGAGCATACACTGTAAGCAGGACAGTTGCTGTTTTTCTGCTTGACTTGGAAAAGTTTGCTAATGGCCTCAGCTCTTCCTTGCTGGAGCTCTGGTCCTGCAAAGCCTTGTGTGTGCTCTTAACTTTATAAACCGAGACTTGTCCTGTTGAATTCGGTGTATTTGGAGACTGTATTCTGAAATATGAAGGCAAAGCTTGTCACGATTGTGGCCAGAAGACTTAGCAGTCTGTTACAAGCAGGTTTGAGTTTGGAGGATACTAACAAGTGCATAAAATATTGCTGTGTTGGAAAGTGCTGGTAACTATTTTAATGGAAAGGAGCCTAAATCACAAAGGCCAAATGATTGACTCCCTCAGTGGAGAATTTGGGGTAATGATGGCTCCCTCCCTTTCCAAATGCAGCAGGCTTATTTGTAAGAGGTTGAGCTTGTGTATGAATGTGCACTTGTCGAAGGTAAAAGCATGGGCAGTAGGTGATGGTACAGTATGCACAAATCTCTGCGTTACACAGTTGCTTTTCCTTTCATACTAACGCTGGGTTTTCCTGCAGTTTGGCAATAAACGTTCAGTTAATGAGGAATGTCTTAGTAGTACTCTTACTTCATTTTTGAAGGCAGAGTGTCTCTCCATATTGCGTATTTATTTTTTCCTACTAACATCAAATGCTGGTCTCTATCTTGCTGTGGTCTACGTTGGCGTAGCTCTGGCTGAGTTCAGTGGGGTTGTACAAGGCCAGGAATCAGATTCCTTGCACATTTGCGTATGAACATGAGCTGCTATCTCTGGCTGTCTGATAGAAAAATCTGTTTCTGCCGAGCACGTCGCCTCACAGCTATTAACAGGCCTTCCTCGCTCGGGCTGTATCTCATTGCCATGGAAATCTGTTGTGTTCAGCTCTGCCCCACTGATGCACGCAAGCCCTGTTTTCTCCCTTCAAACTAACAGGGGCAAAGGTAGACGAAGACCAGACAAATTGAGCAAGGGGCCGTTAAGTTGTTTTCAGTGACTTCACGCTGGCAGTCACATCAGCCTGGGTTTTGTGGAGCAGGAGTGGATGTGAATGCATTTGCGGCTATGTGACCATATGGTTCTTTACCCACAGCAGTCACAGAAGAAAGGCTGGGTAGGATGTGTATCCCCTTTCCTCTCTTTTTCTTTGCATTTTTAACCATTATACTTAAATGAGTTGTTCTTTGTGTGGGCTCTTTTCTTTTAATCTTCTCCCAGTTGTTTCCAAGCCAGGAAAAAATCATGCACTCTTGTTATGATCCAGTAACATTCAAAGCTGCGTGACTCTTGTGTGGATTCCTGAGCACTTTTGTGAGGCTCAGGAGCCTGTTAAAAACCTTGCTGCTCCTCTTTCTCAAGAGTGAAATTCTTGGTTGTAGGACCCTTTTGGGAGAAAGGCAGCTTGTTGGATTCCCTTGCTGAGGATGGATGATTTTATTGTCTGAATTACCTTCTAGCGCTACTGGACTTCTCTGTCACCAAACTCTCTGGTCCGAGGCTATGCTAGTGAGGCTTCATGAAAGGGTTAAGGCAGTTCGCTATTTCTGAATTGGTAAGATGCCAGGAGTAAAGGTAGTTGTCATTGTTCAGTCTTAACTGAACTGCTTTTTTAATAATTCTGGGGTTGCTGGTCTTTGAAAGTAGGCTCTGACTTCTGTTTGCTACCTGGAGGAATCTGGGGTCTGTCTTTCAAGAGCACCCTGAGCACCCCTAGCAAAAGCAGTGGGTATACTTGGTGCCTCTGCGATACTGATCGGGTAGGGACAGTGATCTGGGCTTCTTGAACTGATGTTTGATTGGAAGAAAAAAATGCTAATGAATACAAATTATTGCATTATATTCAAAATTATCCAATGCTGAGGGAGGGGAGATAAAGAAATCGTATGTTTGAGAATTTACACACATCCAAAGACTGCTGCTGGAAGCAGAGCACCTTAAATGTATGACACTGCCAACTACAAATCTTGATTTCTTAAAGGTTTTTCTTGTGTACCTGTGATCAATTAATTCTAGAGGGACTGCTTTTGGATTTATTGGGGAGGGGATGACTGCATTTGTCTTCAGGATTACAAATGTGTTTCAATGCACTCAAGTCTGTGTCTTCCTCTCTTTGTATATATAGTGTATCTCTTTTTTAGGCCAGCCTTTTTCCATGTGTTGGTTTTGATGCATGGGTGGGCTCTGAAAACACATTCAACTCCAGGATTCGTGTAAGAAATAGTTCACGTGCAAATGAGACTGTCTAATACTTAACTGAGAAAGAAATATACTATTTATCAATAAAATTGTCTTGCATTCACAACAAAGATGATCCTGAGATTTATTCTATGTTCCGGTAGAAACAAGCTACCTAGCTGACCCACAAACTTGTACAGACGCATGGGAAGAACTTGGAGCGTACAGGTTGCAGATGCTTAACTGAAGTCATGTGAGTAGACCAGCTGCCCTCAGTGCAGATAGTCTTGAGTAAGCACTGGCATTTTTGTAAGACTAGGGGCTAAGGGACAGGGAGTTTCACAACAGAGTTTATTGGGCTCTGAATCAGACTTAAAAAGGGATGGGGATTGTGTGTGGGAGTGGGTGGGGGACCAGGATAAGGGATAAGAATGCCACATACAAACATCAAACCAACCCGTGGACTGTGGTTAGATTTACTCCTTTTTTCCCATCCAAACCTGTTTTATTGTAACTTTCTGAGGTTCCCTGTTCAAGGATACAGTTAAGCCTTTGTAGTTTATTAACTCAGCGTGAGTAGGTGACTGTTAAGGTACCATGAAAACAGAAGACTGGGAACAGATAAATACTTTTTTTTTTTTTTGTCTTATTTCAGTTTCTCTTTCAATGAGGTTACTGAGATGCTCTGATCTCTTTCCTCCTGAAATACTGCTGCAAACCTTCTGCAAAGGATCTCTGATAGCACAGCTCTGAACAGCTGCCCCAGCACATGGCTCTTGTTTATGGCACTCTGATTCAAGGCTCCTGATGTTGAGCTCCTTCTTGCTCGGCCCCTTTCCATACGCCTCCATCATAACAACATTACATTACTACTCCTCATCCTTCACTTCTGAAAACTGTGTACATGCTGGCCTTTCTCCCTGCCAGTCCACATTAATGGTACATAATTGATCTGCAGCTGCATGATGGCGCTCTCAAAAATGTAGCATTTTTTTAACCATTTCTAGGAAGATGCTGGTATGAAAACATGTGCAGTCTCTCTTTTTTTTTTCCTTTCCCTAAATAAACTGTCGCTTCAGCAGAGCTAAAAACAACTTCTTACTTGAGTCTTGTGGATATCTTCTAGCATCTCGTAAAGATGCTTTCTAGATGTAATTTAAATGGCATTCAACTAGAAGCTAGTTACACAGCAGGAGAAATGGTACTGTATGTTCCATTTCAGCCTCAGCGTACTTAAGATATGTAGGTGATGACTGATTTTGAGACTACCAGATTCTCAGAAGTGTGTTACTCAAGTCATTGTATTGCACTTTCATTGTCTTTGAGTGGCCTTTATTCATAAAGACAGAGAGATGAGCTACCTAAAATGCAGATGGATCTGCGTGTCACTTTTTTTATGGTTGTTTGCTGCCTGTTTTACTTTTGTCCACCTGGAAAATAAATTTGAGGAATGTTCATTTAGG